TTAATGTTAAAATATGTTGTTATTGGCAACAAACCATTTTATTTGTTGTATATTTTATTAGTAACTACTTTTCTCTTCATTTTTGCCAAGTCATAACTGCCAAATACATTTTTTTGTGAGCATGTAAAATAACAATAGAACTGAATCTAAAACCAGCTCAATGTAGTGAAATTAAATGCCAGTAAAAATAAATGGTTTTACTATTATGTCTTATTCATGTTTCAGAACCCTGCAGTATAAACTTTTGTGTTGTGATGAGTCACAGAGATGACACTCAACCTCAAGCAGTTCTTGATCCAGGTCAAAGTTCAGCAACAGAAGAAAAGGGAATAATTGAACTTTGTAAACCTGTGAAAGTGTATCTACTTCCTAAACCAGCAAAACGATGATGCAATGCACCTACTTTTATCTCTGTAACATTCATATATTCGTGATATTTCCGGATTACAAGTGGGACTCATAAATTTTGTATGTGAAATGATGAGTTGAATAAAGTGACTGTAGATATCATTCTGATCTATTTTTCACTTATTATCATTTTCCTCTTAAGCTACTGGAATCCAGAGAGACCATTCCAAGTTAATTGTATCTGGACCAATATTTTCAAGCTTTTCTCTGATGAGATTTGTTAACCAATTAGAGCATACTTTACTAAAACAAGCTATGCCATTCTAAAGCCAAAGACCAGTGTTGTATATTAAAATTATCAGCTATTTAATAGTATCTACACAGATACTACTAGCTGGGATGATCCGTGTAGATGCCATTAGCTGGGGTGGGGGGTGATCCATCGAGACAATGACCAGTTTGTATTCATTATGGTAGATTTGATGCTGACAGCGGGACAACCAGTTTGTATTCATTATGGTAAATCTGGTGCTAACAGCTGGACAACAACCAGTTTGTATTCATTATGGTAAATTTGATGCTAACAGCTGGACAACAACCAGTTTGTACTCATTATGTTAAATTTAGTGCTAACACAGGGACAGCAACCAGTTTGTATTCATTATGGTAAATTTGATGCTGACAGGTGGGACAACAACCGGTTCATACATGATGCAAAGAA